CCTTATAAATTACCAAATCTCAGGTATTTTATGATAGCAGCATAAATGGACTAAGAAAAACATACACAAAGGCTTTGTCCAAAGGCATAAATATTTGTAAGAAAATCTACTTTCAGATCCTTAAACTACACCCAGGGGGGAGGTGCTTCATTCCATTTCTCCATTATCAGCTACGCACTTGCAGTAGCCCTTCTCCTTAGTACAGAAGGATGTACTTACTACACATCCAATATTGTAACATGATGTTAGTAACAGCCCCCCCCCACCAACACCAAAATCTGGCCATAAACTGGCCCTAAAACTGGCCATAAACAAAATCTCTGCAGCACTGTGACATGTTCATGATGGTCATGACGTCCACGCTGAAAGTTGTGAGTTTACAGGAATGAGGGCAAGGAACACCTGGCCTGCCCAGGGTGGAAAATGGTGGAAAATCACTTAAAGGCTTCTTAAAGCACAAACAATAGCAAGAGTGATCTGTGCCTTAAGGACATTCTCCTGCTGCAGATAACTAGCCAGACCCATCCCTTTGTTTTCCATAAGGAATACTTTTAGTTAATCTATAATCTATAGAAACAATGCTTATCACTGGCTTGCTGTCAATAAATACGTGGGTAAATCTCAGTTCGAGGTTCTCAGCTCTGAAGGCTGTGAGACCCCTGATTTCCCACTCTACACCTCTATATTTCTGTGTGTGTGCCTTTAATTCCTCTAGCGCCACTGGGTTAGGGTCCCCCCGACCAAGCTGGTCTTGACAACATGATGCAGTTTTCAGAAGTTTAAAAACATTCAAGACACAAATCAAGAGACAGTTTGAAATACTGATGTCTGTAAAACCTTTCGTAAGCAAAATGTTGTGTCCGGAGTTGGTTCCTTCTGGTGGGTTCTTGGTCTCACTGAATTCAAGAATGAAGTTGTGGACCTTCATGGTGAGTATTACGGCTCTTAAAGATGGTGTGTCCATAGGCCTTAGTGCCATCCCCCACTTTATACACATTTCTGTTATAGGCAAAATATGACATCAGAAATGTGTTATTTTGCCCTGTGCTACTTTGGTTATGAATTCAGACAGAGAATTAAATTTTACCAGTTTTCTTTAATAACCTCTATCTCCCCCACTTTCTGATTTTTTTCAAGAAATACATCTTACCCAAGGGAGAATCTCTTGATATACTTTCCAGACAAGAATTTGAAACAGTATCTCTTGCTATTCATTTGCTTACAAAACATCTACACTCTAAACTTTTCATTGTTTATGAGAAAATGTAAAGTGCTAGTAAATATGTATATAAGCTTAGTTTTACACAATTATTGAAGTTGGCTTTGAAAACTTCATACAAGTCTCAGTGCAAAGGTCAGGAAATTTCATATAACTTATAAAAAGTTTGTTATACCTGGTGCACTGTTAACAGATAAAAAGATGTGACATATCAAGCCTATGTTTGAGATTAAACTCATTTTCTAGTTAGATGCCCATGTGCTTTGTGGAATGCAAAAATTGGCACAAAATAGGCAATGTCTCCTTGCAAGTTGTGATGAAAAAGAGCTATGATGTACAGAATGGTAAATCCTTAGAGGTTTCCAGTCATTCCATGCCAGTAATTTATATCTGCCTCTACAGCAATGAAAAAAGCATTACTGATGAGATTATAGCATTCAAAGACTTGCATATGATTCAACTATGGTTGGTATTTTAAAAACTGTGGAATCAATTTATTCAATTCATGTAGATTCACACAAAAAAGGTATGTATTCATTCAAACATAGTTGCTGTAACAGGGGTCTTACTCAAATTTCTGCCTTATTCTCCAATTTGGAAACAATGTTTAAAACAAACAAAAACACAAGCTTTTGTGGCCAAAAGACTGAGTACTGATTTGCACACAGCATTGGCTATTGACATTAGAACAATTAGTGTAATGAATTTCAGGGTATCCAGCCAGCACTTTAAAAAACTGATATGTGAATTAATGAGATAAACTCATCCCCAACCATTCTGGTGTTTGGAAGTAAGATGGTTATAAAAGGGAAACATTAATATGCACATTTAGTTTAATTTTAAAATGAGGGCAGTTTTTATAACAGAAGCAATCAGGACTGGCTTTACCAATAAAGTTATATAGCAGACATTTTACATAAATTATATGAACTGAATCTGGAGCTTCAAAGTTTTTTTTAATAGTTTGATTGAGATATAATTCACAAACCATAAAATGTACCCATTCAGTGTGCTTAGTCCAGTGGTTTTTAGTATATTCAGAGTTGTGTAGCCACCAATACAATCTAATTTTAGAATATTTTTTAATCACCCCAAAACTAACCCTGTACTTATGAGCAGTCATTTTCCATTCCTGCTCCTCTTAGTTTCTGTTTATGTAGATTTGTCATTTCTGGACATTTCACATAAATGGAATCATGCCATGTGTAATTTTTCTTTTGGAACTGAATTCCTTCATGTAACATATTTTTAGGTTCATCCATGTGTAGCATGTATTAGTACCTTTTTATTGTTGGATAATATTTCATTGAGTGGATATTTATTTTACTTTTACCATTGTATGGTATTATTATAATACATTTGTTGATCCATTTATCATTAGTTGATGGAGCTCTAGAGTTTTTATGAAAATATGTCGTGCATGTGTTTAAATAGTCATTTCATTTTAAAAAGTCAGCAAGGCATTAACATTATAAAAATTTAATTTTCTCTAACCATTTTTTTAATGTTAGGCTTCATAAAGTGACTCTAAGTGAAAGTGTAGCACTATAATTAATAATAAATTGATAAGTTCTTATAAAACGTGTTTGGTGTACTTCCCAGATACTAAAAGTTAATAACTACTGATTGGGTAACCAATGTCTTTATAAGTCAGGTAATTTCCATATTTTATGTCAACAAACTTGAAGGAGAACATAGTTTATCAACTTATAGATTATTAAGTGTAATTTTTTAATGATAGATCGCTTTGTATTTTTTGTCATATCATTCTGAATAAGTTTAAATACTTAAATAACACTAAACAATAAAACTCTTTTCCAAATTATCAATTTGATAACTCAAATGCTTTATCAATTTGATAATTAACTTTTCTGATTATAATAGAAATGCATCACCATTGAAGAAAATTTAAAATTATTAAAAAGATAAAACAAGAAAATAATCCCCAATTTCATAACCGGCAAATGGACACTTGTATGTTTGTGTGAGAGAATGTGTAGTGTGTTTGTAACTATACTTCTTACTATATATGATCTCTTGTTTTCTGGTTTTCTCCCTAATATCATATCATAAACTTTTTTATATTATTAAATATTCCACAAAACACCTTTGAATTTATATTCAATTTTAAAAGCTAATTATAAGAAAGTTACTGTTATAAAACTTCTCTGAAATAGGCTTATTCTAACATTAGTTATAATAGAAAAGCAGTGTCATCAAAATGGCCAATAAAAGAATGTTTAAATTATGTAATATTCTATTATTAATTAATTTGTGGTTACCTCTGTTTTACAAAATAAATATTTAAACATTACTTATTTTTAGACTTCGGAATAAGATTATTCTTTGGCTTCAGTGCAGGTAAGGGATTTAAAATATATTTATTAATCTCCTCTAAGTTTTTCAGTAAAGTCATGTATGTTGTGCTGATGATTTTTTCTGTTGCCTTGACCACAAAGATCAAATATGCTTAAAGTAAAATGCTTGACTTGCAGCTTTTGTCAACCAAATTGTGATTTTACAGGACATTCTCTCAACAGTAGTAGTTAGGCATATAAAGAAAATCATCTACTGTAGGTAAGCATTTTTTTATTGCTGTTGATAGTAACTTTTTCTCTTTTTTCTAAATATTGTAGAATCTTATCTTTAATTGTATTATGAAAAAATTTGACAGGAAATATCTACATATGGCTCTCTTGTCATAAAAATTGCTTGCTGTCTTCCTTCCTCCCTCACTCTCTTTTTCGCTACCTCTCCTTCTCCATCCCTCCTTTCCCTCCCTCCCTTCCTCCTTCCTTCCCGCCCTTTTTTCCCTGTCCTTTCATTCTTTCCTCCTTTCTTTCTTCCTTCCTTTATATTTCTAAGATTATTAATTTCAGTTGCAGAAAGTTTTTTTAACTTACTTTTTTTTGTTACTGGCTTTTGCATTATTTGATCCGTGACTTAGGAGCACCTACAATGTTTAAACTCCAAATCGTTTTATTCCTTTAATTTTCTCTGCTATAATTTTATCCATTTTTTCTTTATTATTTTAAGAGAATGGACAAGTTAGAGTTTGACATTATTGATTTTTTTATGCAGAATGTTATTCTCCTGCTGAAATTTTGGAGCTGATCTCTCTTAGTTTAGCCTTTTCCCCTTCTTTTTGTTATTTTAAATCTCAGTTTATTTGCTTTGCACCTCTTCATTCTGATTTTTTCTTAACCTGATCTATTTTTATAACTGCATCACCCCATTCTATTTACCATGTCTTTACTCATCCTATGGCGGATACCCAGGGTTTTTTTGTTGAGCAACTTTAAATAACTGTTTTTCTAATTCTTTGGAATAATTTTTCTTCTCATTCCATTTGTATTATTTTCTAACAAATCTTATTTGTGTTTTGTCATTTTACTCATCTTTAAAAATGAGAAAGTCTACTCAAAAATGAATTTTGCCAATATACTGGTGGTGGGTATTTTCATGGGCTCCCCTCAGTAAGGACCACTTTACTTACAAAGTCTCTGCTTGGAAGCAGAGCACAGGGACTTTAACAGGCAGATGGTTAAACCCAGACAAATACATTGTGTCTGCCCTGCACTCATCTCATTCATCTGGTCATTCCCAACTCTATTCCTCGCTTCCTAGGTGCTCTAAAGTTAGGGAAAAAAAATTATATATATATAAATGTATATATTCCTATATATATTTATATATAAATTTATATTTATATATAAAATTTATAAAAAATAAAAATTATATATATAAATATATATATATATTTAAACTAAAGACTGGAATCTTCATGCATATCTCAGCATTTAGCCTTTACCACCCATATACAATATTTTGCTGGCTTTTGATAAGATGAAGCATCCCATCATCAGTTCTCTCTCTTTTCTTTCTCTCTCTCCTGGTCATATTTTCTTAGCATCATGATATCCAAAAAGCAGCACCTGCACAGTAGAAAAATGGTTAACACGTTATGGTTGATTTGGAAGCCCATTTAAATAATACTATCTTTTTAAATAAAAGATAATAAAATAAAATACAAGATTGAGAATTACTATACCTCTATTCCATAAGTAAGAACTAAGCATTCTCAAATATTTTGAGATGTAGGTTATTTCCAAAGTCTATTTTTGTTCGTTACCATTCCTGTTAATCCTGTAGTAAATATCTTCAAGCGTAATTGTGATCTTGTTTGAATGATTTTCTTTACAAGGTCTCAATAGAGTGAAAGGTAAGGTACACTTTGAGAATCTGCTTATATTGTCACATTGCTTTCAAAACAACTCTCCAGGGTTTTAAAGGCATCAGCAAAAAATGAGCTGTCTTGCTTTATTGCAAAGTTACTACACTTAAAAATGCAATTCCAAATGTCTCTTCTTCTCTTTCCCCATGAGAGCCTTGAGGACCCATCATTTTGCTTTCTAGCCCTCTTTTAGGATATATTGCTAGAACAAACAAACATTAATGCATTTACCAATTCTGGTAAAATTCTTTCTTGCTATTGGTTTCCTATAGTTTAGATAGATTTCACAGAAATTTCAGTGTGTCAGTAAAAATTACGACCTTGGTGAGAATAGCACAGTGCTGAATGGTTTTAAAACGAGAGAACAGCATTTGGAGAAATGTCATTGTTACTTTGGATCTGAGAAACCTAAATGCAAACACACAAGTCTTTTTTTTTCTTTTTTTTCTTTGAGGCAGAGTCTCACTCTGTCGCCAGGCACCTGGAGTGCAGTGGCCCGATCTCAGCTCACTGCAACCTCCTCCTCCCAGGTTCAAGTGATTCTCCTGCCTCAGCCTCCTGAGTAGCTGGGATTACAGACACATGCCACCACTCCTGGCTGAGTTTTGTATTTTTAGTAGAGATGAGGTTTCACCCTGTTGGCCAGGATGGTCTCGATCTCTTGACCTCGTGATCCACCTGCCTCAGGCTCCCTAATTGCTGGGATTACAGGCGTGAGACACCATGCCTGGCCAAACACACAAGTCTTATAGTACAAAGGGAAGAATAGGAGGTTCTCTTCTCACTCACCCACCAACCTCATCAATATCTTTCTGTTATCTGGTATCTCACCTTTCCAAGATATGTTTATTCCCTTCATCTGGTTATCACTAAATCTAGATTAATTGGCAATTAATTGATTCCAAAATAGAAAAAATATAGCAAAAGTAATGAAAGCTATTTTTGAACATGCAACCTCTTTGCTCCTCAGCACCATCCTCTAGCTCTCATTAAGCATATCATGTTGCTTGGAATTCAAATGAGTTTATAACAGTTTAAGTTGTATATTTTAGTTGACTACATAACTCAGAAATTCAGGGGAACATATTCTACTTTTTAAATTGATTATGTTTAAAATTGCTTTTTCTGCTTGCATTTTGGCTGAGCAGCTTTAAGAATTAAGTTGATTCTTGCTTGAAAGAAAGGAATAAATTCTTGAAAGAAGACAAAAATAATTGACTCCATTTTTACAGAGAAAACCCAGAGTCCCAGAGGATTTGTAAGTTCCTTCATGAACATTGCTTGTAATGTAAAATAGCGGATTGAAAATCTAGATCTCTTGAATTGAACTGATTTTTTATTTTCAGCATAGTCTTTTCCAGGTAACTGTCACAGTCTCTCAGAAAATTATACATCTTCTTGAATACCAGAGTTAAACAAAAGAAAGTTTTGTGTACTCTTTTCTTAAGTTAAAATTCAGGTGACAGCAATATGTTCAGCTTCTGTCTTTGGAGAAGAAACCTAAATTGAGATTCTTAGTGGGTTAAAGCCCTCACTTGATCCTTTTTATGGATGTTGGCTTGGTGTAAAGATCTGGGCCTTTGCTTCCTTTGGGGAAAAGGCAATATGTCTTTGTCTTGTCGACACCTCCTGTTTGCACTATTTCAAACGTGGGAGGTAATTTTGTTGCTAGTAGAGTTTGTAGTTTGTCCTGGTTGTCTGGAACAGAAAGTAACAAATTCCTTAATAGAAAAAGTGGGCTCCAGATTCCACTCAGTTCCAGTGTTTGTGTGAATTCAAGCTGCTGGTGGAGCAAAGATGCTTCTGACACATGATTTTTCTCCCAAATCTGTCCTTTAATTTAGAACCTAACTGAAGTATTATGTTGGGTATTAATGAGTGTCTACCTGTGATTCATTCTTTAAGCAGAGAAGGAAAATGATACTTCAAATATAGGTAAGAATATAAGGAACAACTACTTTGATATGATACAAGAATGTCTCATTTATGAACTGTGAGTTTCTATGGAGTCTAATGTGATAACTTTAAGGATAATGACCTTTTAAGTTTTCACTTAGAAACTTAGATCAAATGTTCAGAACTAGTACATTGATGCGAAATAAATAAATAAAAATGGATGTTCTTTGTCGCCATCTTGCCTACTAGGATCTCTCTGGGTCTTCACAAGTTCACTATTGCTATATGAAAAAATCCTAACTGCTTGGTATCACACATAGAGTCCTTCATAATTCAGCTTTTCCCAGCAACACAGCTTTCTGTTCCATCACTTCTTCACACAGTACAGCGAGTGGTTTGTTACCAGAATACCTGTGCTTCTTCTGTCTACCTTCTGTCCTCTTCCGTCTTCATAACTGAGGTGCAGAGGGTCAAGTTACAGGGGCTTACAGGCATTGTGTTAACCATCAATAAGGTAGCATACCTTACTTAGCTTTGAAATATTTTGGAGAAATCAGATCTGCTCAACCAGGCAGTGTCAATCCCTAGTGTCCAGGACTAGTTATAAGCAATACACTCTTTCACAGTTTACCTTGACTTTTTGATTTAAAAACATATATGGGTTTAATTGATCAAGGGAAGGGTAAGGCAAATACAACTAGTTGCCCCATCAAATTTTATTCTCTTCTTGGTAATTAACAGTGTTTCAATTTTATTTAGGATAGTCGCAGATTCAACTGTCAATCTTTCTCATTTTTTCTTCTTGGAATGCAGACATGAGCCTGGTGGTACAGCAGCCATTTTGCCACCATGAGGTGACCAGCATGAGGCAAAGGCCTGCACTGTGAGGATGACAGAGGAAAGACAGGAAGAGTTGGATCCCAGATGTTATCACTAAATTGTCATTAACCTTGGATGGTCCATATTGGAATTTTTGTTTATAGAGATAAATGAAATCTTGTTTGAGAGTTTCAATTGTGCCACTGCATACATTGCTAACTGATATAAAGGGCTGACCGGGAATTTGGATATTATAATTTTATTAAACTGTCAATGACTTTCCCACCAGATAAATTAATTGATAGTTATAATCGATGCAGAAAGGACAAATATGGGGTTTCTGCATGTCTACCCTCATTAGTAGCGGGACAGAGGGGAAAGTCAGCAGCCTGTGTCCCAGTTATTTCCATTCTGGTTTCACTCTTCTCCTACTCCTTATGTCTCTCCACCTCTCAAACACTAGCAAGCAATGTCAGAAGACCCATGTGAGGGTAAGCTTTTGTGTTTACTTGTGATGGTTAATATGAGTGTCAACTTGATTGGATCGAAGGATGCAAAGTATTGTTCCCAGGTGTGTCTGTGAGGGTGTTGCCTAAAAAGATTAACATTTGAGTTAGTGGTCTGGGAGAGGCAGACCCACTCTCAATCTGGGTGGGCACTGTCTAATCAGCTGCATGTGCTGCAAGGATAAAGCAGGCAGAGAACATGGAAGGAGCAGACTCCCTGAGTCTTTTGGCTTCATCTTTCTTTCCGTGCTGGGTGCTTCCTGCCCTTGAACATTAGACTCCAAGTTCTTCAGCTTTGGACTTTTGGACTTACACCAGTGATTTGCTAGGGGCTCTCGGGCCTTTGTCCACATGCTGAAGGCTACACTGTTGGCTTCCCTACTTTTGAGGTTTTGGGACTCTGACTGGCTTCCTTGCTCCTCAGTTTGCAGATGGCCTAGTGTGGGACTTTACCTTGTGATCATGTGAGTCAATACTCCTTAATAAACTCCCCATCGTATATTCATCTTTCCTATTAGTTCTGTACCTTTAGAGAACTCTAATACAATACTGTTCCAGACCTTTAACAAAATATACTGACTAACCAGAGCAAGACTGTGCTAGCTGAGTAAATAACCAAGATAAGCAATCTTGGTTTGTCTACAGACAACCACCCATTTATCTGTTACACTGCCCTTCATTCTCTAGTCTCCTTCTTACCTAGCTCCCTGTATTAGGCAGTTCTTGAATTGCTACAGAAAAATACCCGGGACTGGGTAATTTACAAAGAAAAGAAGTGTAACTGGCTAACGGTTCCACAGGCTATACAGGAAGCATGATGCTGACATCTGCTTGGCTTCCGGGGAAGCCTCAGGAAACCTACAATCATGGCGGAAGGCAAAGTGAAAGCAGGCAGTTCACTTGGGTAGAGCAGGAGCAAGATATAGAGTGGGGAGGTGCTATATGCTTTTAAATAACCAGATCTCACAAAAACTCGCTATCACAAAGAAGCACCAAGGTGGGGAGGGTATTAAACCATTAGAAACCACCCTCATGATTCAGTCACCTCCCACCAGGCCCCACTTCCAACACTGGGGATTACAGTTGACCATGAGATTTGGGTAGGGACACAGACCAAAACATATCACTCCCCTTCCCTCCTAGTCCAATCAGCTGTAAATGTTGCATCAGGTCTAGGCTCTAGTCCTTTACCTAGTACCAGCTGAGTCTTGCTTTCCTTCCTTTTATTTCATTCGGTTCCAGAAAAGAGCTTCCTGAATATGCTATCAGTCTCTTCCCTCATACTTCTACCTTATGGAGGTAGAAGCTGCCCCTTCCTCTGACACATGACCCCTTTGATCACGTCACTTGATCTTCTTCTGGTCAAAGAAGGGAACCCAACAGATTTAGGGGCAAAAATATATATATGTATTTCCAAGCTTGTTATCAAACCAACTGAGCTGTAATGGCCAAAATTTGCATTTAAAGTAGGATGATTCATCTTTCCTTTCAAACGTTTGAAATCCTGTGTTGAATCAGTCGCTCTCTAGCCAATGGAAGAAAAATGTGTCTTTTCACTTACCAGATGACTCTACCTTCATCTTCAGATGAAGAACTATTTCATAAACTGGTTCAGTTTCAAAAGTGTTCTTTTGCCAATCTCGAAGATAAAGAGCCTCAAGGAGTCAAAATGATTTCATAAATTTATATCAAAACTATAACTCTGACTTGAATCCTATTTGGAACAAAATGCAAATACACAGTACTTCAAATATTTTTGAAGAACTAGCAGCTGTACTAGATATATATATATTTTTTAATGGAGTCTCACTCTGTTGCCAGGCTGGAGTGCAGTGGTGCGATCTTGGCTCACCACAGCCTCTGCCTCCTGGGTTCAGGCAATTCTCCTGCCTCAGACTCTTTAGTAGCTGGGACTACAGGTGCATGCCACCACAGACAGCTAATTTTTGTATTTTTAATAGAGATAGGGTTTCACCATGTTGACCAGAATGGTCTCGATCTCTTGACCTCATGATCCACCTGCCTTGGCCTCCCAAAGTGCTGGGATTATAGATGTGAGCCACTGTGCCTGGCCTAAAACTAGAGAATAATTTTTTATAATCTGAAGATTACTTCAGAAGTCGAACCACGGGCAAGGGCACCTACTGGGTAGCCTGTGCCACTCACACATTTTTTTGGAGAAGTTACTGTTTCCAAATGATGCCAATGATTATAAACATCCCTGGGTGCAACAGGGAGTCTTGGTGCATACTATAGTCATGTCCATTTTGAAGAAGCGCTAGTGTATCCAAAAATGTCTGACAGTGTAATTTTGCTCTCTAATCAAAGGTGGCAAGCCTAAATATGGGCAGTTGATTCCTGCCAGGTATATTAGGGTCCTTGTTTGAGAATGTGGAATTGTAACTTAGAGATTTGAGTTGCAATCTAGATATGCTTTAATAGAAAAAGTGAAAATTCAAAAGTTGTTGCAATCAAGATCTGTAATATGGGTTGAAAAGCAAAAAGTTTAGTTTTCAGAGGCAGGGAGAGAGAGAGAGAAAGATCAAACAACATCAGACACCCAGAAATAATCACAAATGAGGGATGGAAAGATATGATGTCCCAGCATCCCCAGAGGGTACCAGCCTTTGATTACACTCCATCCATGAAAACCTGCTAATTCCCAGACTTTACATTCTTGAGATGTCCTTATACCTTTATAATATATATAGTCTTTTTTCCCCAAATTTTGTTCTACAAGGGTTCTTTTTTAGAAATAATAAATTTCTATTTTCTGCAGCAAATACTCTTCCAGCAAAGTTCAGGGAAGTACAGTTTTGTTTAAATAATACAAAACTACTTTATTTCACTCACATATTGAAGAACTTGTTTTCTACAAACCATTGTGCTTTTCTTTTAGAAATTTGTAGATGAATTATATATGGGTCCTGCAATCAAAGAATATATGGGGAGAAAAAGACATATATGTAAGTTGGTAGTATGCATGGTAGAAACGTGTGATGGCCATGAGAGGCACGGAGCCCACACAATAAGGAAAGAGATGATTTCCCACAGTGACCCAATACAATTTTAGAAAGAGGTAGAACTTGAGTTTGTATGTGGAAAATGGGTATTATTTGGACATGTGGGGCTAGGATGAAAACTATTCTCGGTAGACAGAATGTGAACATGTCTAGGAGGAACAGGGAGAGTTGTATAAGCAACAGTTCAGTTTCACTAAAATAAAAGGCTTGCAAACAGATGTAGTGATTAAAATTAGAAAGATAGATTAGGGCCAGATTAATAGAGGTCTTGAAAGCCCATGAAATAAGCTTAGACTTTGTCATAACAAATCTTTGGCCCCAAATAGTCAATAAGAATTTTTTTCTTCTTTTTTTTGAGACAGAGCCTTGCTCTGTGTTGCCCAGGCTGGAGTACAGTGGTGCAATCTCAGCTCACTGCAAACTCTGCCTCCCGGGTTCAAGTGATTCTCCTGCCTCAGCCTCCCGAGTAGCTGGGAATACAGGCGCCTGCCACCATGCCCGGCTAATTTTTGCATTTTTAGTAGAGATGGGGTTTCACTATGTTGGCCAGGCTGGTCTCGAACTCCTGACCTCTGGTGATCCACCCGCCTCGGCCTCTCAAAGTGCTGGGATTACAGGCGTGAGCCACTGTGCCCAGTCAACAAGGATTTTTAAACCAGAGAATGATATCAGCAATGACTCAGGAGGCTGGACCAAGTGGTAGTAGAAATGATGGGCTGTGGTAGAATGAGAAAGCTGGTTCAGGGATTCATTAAGTGGTAATAAGGGTTGGAGAAGAAAGAATTTTCTTCAGCGGGTTTTTGAGGATTTCAGTGTGATTAAGGAAGAGCAAGGTTTCCATCAAAGTGAGGCCAGCCAAACTGCTTCCAGAAGAGGCTGAAAACATAGGATGGTTTGCTCTGAGTGGTGGGAACCACTGGACCCACTGTTAAGGAGCTGGGAGCCTAGTTGACAGAGTAAAGATGTAGATGGCTGGTCTGCATAGGAAATTAATGAGAACACGGAGGGACACAATAAAGAAAGAGATTTTTATCTAACAAAGCAATTGTAAATTAAAAGGATTAAGAAAATGAAGGTAGGAGTTAGACGGAAGGCATAGGATACAAATCCATATCCAATTAATGTTAATTGCCTAGAGGGTTCCAGGTATATTTATAAATTGAATGACATTTAAATAGTTTCTGTTTTACAGATCTACATAAGTTGAGAAACTTGCTTAAGATAAGCCTATTTTAAGTGGTACAATTGAAATTTGAACCCAGGTTTTCTGGTGTCTTACCTCTTCGATTATAATTCTTTGTATCATATCACATTATCTCTCATCAAGATTAGTAGAGGTGAAGGGAAACAAATATAGAGGCAGACTATGTTTCAGTAGCAATGTTGGTTTCACTGAGTACACAGCCTTCTTAAGCCAGCTTCCTCAAGTGCTGAACCTAGATCAAAGTAATTCCCAGTTAGGCCTCTGGCTGTTAATAAATAATTCATTACATAAAATTACTAAATAAGTTCCAGAGGTAAGAAATTATATAGTTTGATATTGTGACAAAAATCAATAAAATTCAACTATCAGTTTTTTTTCTGGTTTCATAGCTTGTTAATTTTGTGACTATTCATTTGAGTAACTACATCCGAAATATGAGAGTAAAAAGCTAGTGGCCATTTATTCATGTATTATAGATGCCAAATTCCAGAAGTGTGTGACATTTACATGAATATAAAACAAATTTATTGTAATTAATGTTATTACCATGAATAAGAAATAAATTCATAACATCCAATATGTAAATACTAAGCAAAGCATGTAATTTGTCTCTTTTTGAAATTAATCTCACATTCACACTAATATGATTTATGTTATTGTAATACACACTATGCCTCTGGAATCAGAGTAGAAATGATTAGTTCTTTATGTGACCTTAATAACAAATAATGTGCTAACAGAATCATAAATATCACCTAAAATTAATTAAATTTTCCCATATTTTTAAAATAGCTTCCTGAATTTGATCCTTGCATAGTAATAGAATGAATGAAAATAAATGTAAGTGCCTCGGCATATTAAAATGTCAAAAGAGAGGACACCTGCAGTCATAGTTCAAGGCATGGATCATAGATCTTAGAATGTTAGAGGCAGGAAGGGTCTCAAAGGTCGTTCACTTCAATCACTTCATTTTGCAGATGAGGGAGAGAAAGACCTAGAGATGCTGGGACTTTTCCAGGGTTCAATGCACAGTTATGAAGTGGCAATGCCAAGAACACAGAGCAGACCTCCTGACTTCAGTCCGTTGTTCTTTTTGCTGTATCATGCTGCCTAAAGAATCATTTTTCATCATCTTAAAATGCTGCCTTATTATTGCATTAGCAAGTGAAAAATTAATGGGTGTACATTCTTTTGCTTTATAAATGAAAAAAAAAAAACCACTTCCATTAATTGCAGCAAAATAGTATTTACCATAAAGTGAGCTCAGAGGACAGATTTGTTTCCCACATATCCTATAGCATTTCAGCTTTCTAGATTTAAGGACATATTGTCACATTCAAGTGTTTTTAAATGAGTGGCATTTTTATCAAAATAAATAATTTGACTTGTAATTATTAATTGTCATGATGTAAGAGAAATTATTACAGGATTGGTATTGTAGCAAATTTGAAAATTAAAGTAACACTTATTTTTTTCCATTGAGATACAATTCATAAAAAGAGAGACACCGGATCTTAAGTGCACCATTTGATAAGTTCTGACAAGAGCATACCCCACCGTGGTCTACACCTAGATCAAGATACAGAACACTTTAATACCCTAGAGAAATTCTGCTGTCTTCTCCCAGTCAATAATCATCCTTTCCTGAAAGGAACCATAAATATGTTGCTCATGTTTTGACATGACTAGTTGTCTTTATGTTTATTAAGTTGTAGAAGTTTTTGGTGTATTTTGGATATAAGTCCTTTGTCAGATATATGCATTACAATATTATCTTCCGGTTTGTGGCTTATCTATTTAATTACTGTACAGGGTATTTTAATTAGCATAACAAATTTAATTTTGATCACGTAACAATTTTTCTTTTATGGTTTTGCTTTTTTTTTTTTTTTGAGATAGAGTCTCGCTCTCTGTTGCCAGGCAGAGTACAGTGGCACGATCTCTGCTCACTGTAACCTCTGACTCCCTGGTTCAAGCCATTCTCCTGCCTCAGCCTCCCGAGTAGCTGGGATTACAGACATGTGCCACCACGCCCAGCTAATTTTTGTGTTTTTCGTAGAGACAGGGTTTCACCATGTTGGCCAGGCTAGTCTCAATCTCCTGACCTCGTGATCCGCCCGCCTTGGCCTCCCAAAGTGCTGACGTTACAGGCGTGAGCCACCGTGCCCAGCTGGATTTTGCTTTTTATATCCTAAGAAATATTTGTGTATCTCAAGGTATTGAGGATATCCAATTTTTTTCTTCTGGAAGCTATATAGTTTTAGCTTTTATTTTTAGTTCTGAGATCCATCTTAAGTTAAATTATGTATATGGGGAGAGAGATGAGGCAAAGTTTCTCCCCCATGTGGCTATCTAGTTGTCCCACCACCGTTTGTTGAGAAGATACTCCTTTCCCCCATCATTTCAATTTGGGGGCTTTGTTGAAACTTATTTCATGAAAAACGTAAAGTTTATTTCTGAAATGTCCATTTTACTGCATTGCTCTAA